ATATAGCCTACTATTAATAAATACATAATGTGTAATACTATTAATATTATTATTATTATTATTGAACAAAGTAATTAATTTGCTTTCTTTTTAAAAATATTAATCTTGGTTCTTTGGGTTGGTAATGCAGTAGCAAATGTAACTATGAAAATATTTAAATCCTTGTGTAAATCTATAAGTACACACAAATATGCATGAATAATAATAATAATAATTAGTAGTAGTTGGAGGAGGAGGAGTGATAATAATAATAATATCTATAGTAATACCTAATATCTATTTATTTTGCTAAGGAGCTATATCTGAATATGACTAAGCTGTATTTATTTTCTGAATTTGCTGAAAAGGCAATTTTAATTGAATTAATTGAAGTATGTGATTTTGAAACAAATAGGAGCCAAATCAGAAACAAAATGAGCTTGTAATATCTATGCAAAGACATAGCTATAACCTCCACAGTCAAATAAAAGAAACCAATAAAATTCTGCAATAATTCTGCAATTTCCGCTTTGAATAGTTCATGTTCACATTCTGTGTGTAACAGCATGACATTTAACGTTAAAATAAAGCACATCCAGCTTTATTTCTATCACCGGCCATCAGGAAACCTCACCTCACGGTTTCCCCTAAATGCATCTGAATTAGCGCTGGACAGATCACTCACAGCTGTAACACCCCCCCATCAGCCTCAGCAGTGAATAATCCACTCACCAACATGGGTGATGATACAGTCCACCCTCTGCTGTCGCTCCAGTAGAGACATCTCCTCTTCCTCCTCCAGCCTGCAGAGCATCTCAGGGTGTGAACGCCGGCCTCTCTGCTCTCCGCTCCTCTCCTCCGCAGCTCACCCGAGGGCTTCCCCGCTCCGCTCTCACAAAGACAGCAGCCACTCCCAGCCCTTGATGGAGACTCTGAATGAAGACACAAGAGCGAGCCGGTGACACTGGCCGATGAATCCGGCTCTTTTGTTCTACAGCGTGGAGGTGCGGAGAGGCTTTTGTGATGTTAATCATTCATTGTGAATCTCAGCGCCTGAGTGATGCTGGCTGGACTTTACCCGGCTCTCACACCAGCTCTATGGCTTCTACCCTAAAGACTGTGGAAGGGAATCAGAGGGAGGCTACAGTACCTGCCTTCAGAGAGACACAGAGCTCCTTTCACACAAAACCTGGAACAATGGATTCAGTGGAATGGAGCCTTGTGCATACAGCCTGCAGTGTAATAGTCCTGTACTTGTAATGTTTCATTAATTAAACACTATTAAACACTATTATATTATATTATATACATTCTTAATATAACATAATAAAACGATATAATACAAAATAAATAATAATAATAATTATTATTATTATTAAATGTATTATCATTAATGCAAACAGCCTGTATTGCAATAGTCAAATGTATATCATATTCATTGTTGCCATTAAATTGTTCAATGTATTAAATTAATACATTATTAATAAATGCACAAAAAATTATATTTAACATTATTACCATACTGAACAATGTAATTCATTAGTGTTGCTTTTTTCAACATTAATTTTGGTGCATAGGACAGATAATACAGTGATAAAGTGACAGTACATAAACATGCACTTATCTGAATCCTTAATACTTATATGTAAATCTGCAAATACACACAAGCATGCATTAAAAATAATAATTATACTCATCATCCTCATCATTTAATTTTACACTACTACTAATACCGGTAATTATTTAATTATAATAGCAATAATAATAATAATAATTAAAAAATTTATTATTATTATGCATATTTGAAAAGACTGAATGTCAATATTTTAAATATATCAAACCATTTCTAAATATTATAAATATCATTCTATACAATTATGTTAAATTCCACATTTGTATTTTTTCTTTATTTACTTACTTTTTGTTGTTGTTGAGGAGCAGCATCAGCGTTTGACTGAGCTTGGCTCTTTTCCACATTTTGATGTGAGCTGATGAGCTGCTAGCATCTTTCTTGACGACATTGCCCTTGGGAGCCAGATCATCTCCTTGGAAACTCTCGGTGATGGGACGCTATCTGTGCTCCTGCCATAACATGCAAACTTATCACACATGTATTACTCATTAAATCAAATTAAGAATAGTGCTGAGCGTTTATCTTGCTTTCATGATGGTGTCATTTATTCTTATTTATTTATTTTCCCAAACAGCCACTTAGAATTCTTTCAACATCCCTGCTAAATGTGTTCTGCACTTCACAGCGTCACTCTATTATAAAATAAAATATATTTTATAAAATAAAATGATTACATAAAACAAGACTGTTGCAAATGGAAAAGTCGCTGAAATAAATGTTTAGATAATTGCATAGAGACAATTGACCTACTAAATGTTCACCGCCAGATGGCGATGTAGGTCCACTTACTGACAAGAGCAATAAAGCCTGTACTGCAGCGCCTCCTGCTGGACACACTGACTCAAAATACTGCATATGATTTTACAGGTGCATCTCAATAAATTAGAATGTCGTGGAAAAGTTCATTTATTTCAGTAATTCAACTCAAATTGTGAAACTTGTGTATTAAATAAATTCAATGCACAAATTAAAAGAACCAAAGACTTAAACTACTTCAGTCTGTGTGCACTGAATTTATTTAATACACGAGTTTCACAATTTGAGTTGAATTACTGAAATAAATTAACTTTTCCACGACATTCTAATTTATTGAGATGCACCTGCATATTTACTTCTAAATTGACACATTGAACGCATGATATGTTACAAAATTACATATGTTAATACCTTACCAATTGGCTTTCCGAGAAATTATCCACCATTACTTAATCCAGCTGTTGAAACGAGGATAAGGAGGCTGTTGTCGTACTGTGTCATTTATAACACCTTTCGGCAGATTAACGCACATGAAGAATTGCATTGCATTTTATGTCTTTTAATAAGTGTACAATTTCAATTCAAATGTTTTCTCTGACTTGTCTGAGATGTTTAGCATAAACAGATAAAAGGGGAAAACGTTGCAGAGCTGCTTAGCCATGACGTCGATTTGTAAGCCAAACGCAAAATTCCCTCGAGAATTTCCGGTTTTTAAAATATCGGTTTAAGATTTATGAGTAAAATAATGTCTGTGGTTAACATCATTTGAAGAGTTCTGTTCTTCAACAAAAATAAATGCACATAAATCTGAACCTTGAAACCACAAAAAAAAAAAAAAAAAGTTTCACGTGATGCGTCAAGAGTATAAACTCACGTTGTGGTCCTTATTTAGCAATATAATATCTATTTAGGTGTTTCGTACATTTCACGATTGAGGTATAATTGCGTGTACCTTTATAACACAACGTTAAAGAATTATATATATATAAAAAAAACGATATTACTCAGAAATCCAAAAGTAACCTTTATAACAAGCTCCAAAATGAACCTTTCTTAAAGGTGCAATGTGTAATATTTACATCGATCTATTGACAGAAATGCAATATAATATACATAACTATGTTTTCAGAGGTGTATAAAGACCTTACTTAATGAACCGTTATGTTTTTATTACCTTAGATTGAGCAATTTATATCTACATACACCGCGGGTCCCCTTACATGGAAGTCGCCACCATGTTTCTACAGTAGCCCTAAACGGACAAACTGCTCCACACGGCGCGTTTCGTCACTTTGTTGTTCTTGCGAATAAAACACTGACACAGTGATGAATTCATTGGAACATTGGACATTTCCAAACTGCTAGGCCTAATTCTCTTCCAGGTTTTAGGACTACTAAATGGCTCTATTGAAAAAAATGGAGCTCCTCCAAAGGCAAAACACAAAACAAGTGAAACTGATTTCTCAGATCTTTTATTGTTCAGGTTCGATCGCGCCTGAATGCTTCAGCTTCTTTAAACGGTATCATTTCGATACATGCCCTTGCAGCAATAGGCAACAACAACAATCATGATGAATAAACCTATGTGGCAACCCTATTTCTACAGAACATATACATGAGGAACGGCTTTTTTGGAGTTATTTTGCAACGTCATCAATCCTGAATTACAAACAGAGCTGGACTTCAGGATACATCCCTTATACACATGGACATTTGAATAACTCGTTAATCGTGTGTTAAACTTACATGACACTTTAGGGACTGATAAAATATTCCTATTGACTCGGTAGTAAATATAAACCATTGCAAAAACACACTTTAGCATCAGTTTATTTGCAGTCACATTTATTGTGATGAAAATTGCTCACAGTTGTAATGATACACGTTCATTTGAATGAATAATTTAATAAACAACAGAGACTGTTTTCAGGAAGTAATGCTTATTTTACAGTGAAATCAACAGAACTTGCTGCTGACATGTGCCTGACATACAGTGGGTACGGAAAGTATTCAGACCCCCTTAAATTTTTCACTCTTTGTTATATTGCAGCCATTTGCTAAAATCATTTAAGTTAATTTTTTTTCCTCAATGTACACACAGCACCCCATCTTGACAGAAAAACAGAATTGTTGACATTTTTGACCTTCTCCAGAGTGCTCAGGACCTCAGACTGGGCTGAAGGTTTACCTTCCAACAAGACAATGACCCTAAGCACACAGCTAAAATAACGAAGGAGTGGCTTCACAACAACTCTGTGACTGTTCTTGAATGGCCCAGCCAGAGCCCTGACTTAAACCCAATTGAGCATCTCTGGAGAGACCTAAAAATGGCTGTCCACCAACGTTTACCATCCAACCTGACAGAACTGGAGTGGATCTGCAAGAGGGAATGGCAGAGGATCCCCAAATCCATGTGTGAAAAACTTGTTGCATCTTTCCCAAAGACTCATGGCTGTATTAGATCAAAAGGGTGCTTCTACTCTAAATACTGAGCATGTGATATTTCAGTTTTTTTTTTTTAATAAATCTGCAAAAATGTCAACAATTCTGTGTTTTTCTGTCAATATGGGGTGCTGTGTGTACATTAATGAGGAAAAAAATTAACTTAAATGATTTTAGCAAATGGCTGCAATATAACAAAGAGTGAAAAATTTAAGGGGGTCTGAATACTTTCCGTACCCACTGTAGATGTGCGTGTCGTAGTTTTGTCAACCAACGTGGAAAATGGCAAAACACTGTAATAACACTGACAAAAACTCCCCCCCCCCATACATATTTAAATCTATCCACATAACTTTGTTATTTAGGATTATACACATAGACAAAATACAGAATCACATGTACATGTGTTGATGATAAATGGTAGATTTGTCTCTGGTTAGTGCACGGTATAATGCCCCTCTTATGAAAAGGAATATTATTGCATTTCTTGTATGATTTTTGTATTATCGGCAGTACTAGTGTAATTCGTTCGTTCGTTCGAGCGATGAGGTCTCTTCTTGGCTTGCAAATGAGTCTTGTAGAGGAGACAGATGCCCTGACACTCAGAAACATTGTGAAAACGCACTATACAGTTATATTGTTTGCAATGTTTTAACAAAATATATGTTTACTATTATTTGCATGTTGGAGTGCTACACAAAATGAGATAAAGCTTTGTAATATCATTTTCAAAAAAAAAAAATGTAAAAAAAAAAAAAAGAAAAAGAAAACAGTCCAGATCAACACATGACTTTTCTGAATATGGATGTGATTCATATCAAGAAGTTCAGGAGAAAACTTTGTAGGCTAAAACGAGCACAGTCCTGGCTCATATGTTTGCGTTTTTAGGGAACTCGTACCATAAGATTCACAAAATGAGAAAACTGTTCATAAAAGTACTTTTAAAAATATTGGTCACTGTTCGTAAGTAGTAAATGTTAACATCAAGTATCTTATGAAGTGATGCGGAGAATATTTCGACGCACAGACACTGAAAAAGCTGATAGAACTACATTTGCATCTTCTGTCAGAAATTGCTTCTAACTATTATGATATTTTAGCTATGCCAGCAAATTAATATTTATCATTTATGCATAACAAAAAAGAATGGATTTTATATAATAAACATATTCAGACAAGGAATTTCAATAGGATCTACTTTAAAAAATATATATAAAACATACAAAAAACACTCTACCCAGTTGAAAACAAAAGTAACCTTACATTTTTTAAAGTTCTATATATAGGTGAAACTACAATTTGACTACAATTGGACTGGAAAAACACACAACCCAACAATCCTCCTTGTGGGCGGCAAATTCAAACACACATATTCAAATGTTCGAAACAAACATCTCCATACACACACACATAAAAAAAATGTAAATATAACAAGGTGCCTTAGCACAGACTGGCACACACAGACCTACAGAACAGAAGCATTTAGTGGTGCTTGCAGTGTGGCACGATACAGAGTGTTTCGAAATACGTGAACTCACAAACTCGTCTCTCTATCCAAATCTGCCTCCTCCTCTTCATCACCTCTTTTATGTTCAATGGCAACTTCAACTGCTGAGCTGCAGAATAACAGAAAGACTCACATCATCATGGAGAAAAACAGACTTTGGTAGTCAAAAAGCTGATGAGAAACTGTGAACGACTAGAGTGTGCTGTTAAAACAAAAGAATACAAGCTGTTTTGTGTGAGCTCATTATTTACGATCAAAAGATTGATTTATTAGTGCTTTCAGGTGATTAAAATATTTAATTGATTACTGAAATTAATAACTAAATCATTCATATTCAAATTATTTAATATTTAAACATTTAAATAAGTATCATATTTAAACAATTTAAATATTAATTAATATTGAACATTTATTTCACAATTAACCTGTTAATGCATTTGTTTCTTTTTTTGGAAAAAAATAAATAAATGTGTAATTATTGTGTTGATGGCTCTCATAGCGGAACATATATGCATATGTATAATCATTCTAGACTTAAATTTCACCCTCTGTTAAACAGACCATATGAGTCTGATTAATAAAAAAAATAATATACTTGACCCTATAACACTTGCACTCAGTTCTATTTTTATTTAACTACTTGTTTTCTTCTGATTTAAAAAATAATTACCCTCTAACACTAGCATCCTCTATTCTTTTGACTTATTTTATTTATTTTTAAAAATTGACCCTCTAACACTAGCATTCTCTATTCATTTTCTATTATGCTTTTTTCTCTTTATTTATTATTAAAAAATTATAATAAAAACATGTACTGCGAGACTAACCGAGACTTGTCACAGCACTTACATATTATTGCTCTTTTGTTGGTTTTGATTGCTTCTATTGTTCTCTTTTGTAAGTGGCTTTGGATAAAAGCGTCTGCAAAATGACTAAATGTAAATGTAAATATACTACATACAGAATTTACTGAGAAAAAATATTGAGTTCCACAAGAGATTGTGTGTGTGTATTGGTTTGACCTACATTATAGGGCCAAAATTGGCTTCACAATGACTAACTGTAAATTATGAGAACATGCTAACTATCCCCTTAACTCAAAAGGCTAAATAAACATACTAAACAATTTTTTATTAAAAATGTAAAAAAAACAAAAAAAAGTGATTAGTTCAAATCAGCTCTGAGTATTCCGATTCACACAACAAAATGAAATGGTTATGTCAAATTAAATAAAAGCATTATCAGTGTTAAAACAAAAAAAGAAACAGCATGAAGTACATTTAATTAATTGCATGTGTTAACTTTGACAGCCCTATTTTACAGGTCTACCTGACCTCAGTGAGTTGAAGGAATAGTTCACCCAAAACTGAAATCTACTCAACCCTCAGGCCATCCAAGATGAATATGAATTTGTTTCCTCATCAGAACAGATTTGGAGAAATGTAGCATTACATCACTTGCTCACCAAAGGATCCTCTGCAGTGAATGGGTGCCGTCAGAATGAGAGTCCAAACAGCTGATAAAAACATCACAATAATCCACACCACTCCAGTCCATCAGCATCTTGTGAAGTAAAAAGCTGTTTGTAAGAAACAAATCCATCAAGGTTTAAATGACCTTTAAATCATAATTTCTGGCCAAAATAATCCATAAATAGTCCATAATCCCTACCTCCATCACCTCTAGTGAAAAATCCCAACTTGTCCTCTCACATCAAAATACACCAACATGAACTGTTTTTGCTTGTAAGGTGTGCTTGATGTGTATATATTTCTCTCCTGATATATGACTCATATTTTAGCTGGAACCAACAAATTACTTGTGGATTATTGTGATGTTTTTATCAGCTGTTTGGACTCTCATTCTGACGGCACCCATTCACTGCAGAGGATCCATTGGTGAGCAAGTGATGTAATGCTACTGTACATTTCTCCAAATGTTCAGATGAAGAAACAAACTCATTTACATCTTGGATGGCCTGAGGGTGGGCACATTTTAAGCACATTTAGATTTTTGGGTGAGCTACTCCATTAAAATTGTGCATGCGCTAAACCTCGACCTTTGACCTATCCAAAAAAATCATGCTTTTCCATGCATTTAACATTCTCAACAAATACACACAAACATGCACACAAAGCCTAAAATGCTCTGGAACAAAGAGCTTGAGTCTCACAATGTGATGCCAGTGTTTTTAGTAAGACGCCCTTTGTAGAACCTGGAAATGTTTCATTGTTGTGAAAGACGCAACGTTTTTTTTTTAGAAAAGGAAAAAAGGTTTGAACATGTAGGAAACATGAACCATAGCACCAAAAGATGGAGGCCAGACACCCACAGCACTAGTGTATATACAGTGATCGTGCACAGACGGGTTGGGTTGCGTCTTACCTTTGGAAATCAGCATCTGAGACATTAGGAGAGGGAGCTTATGAGTGACAGGGATGAAAAATTCAGTCATAATATGAGCCTGATAGTCACACTTCCATTTTAAAGAGAACAGCATGTTTGAGGAGTTCACTAATGGAATGACTTCATAATGTAGTGCAGAGCCTGAAGGATGCCAACTGGATGAATTAAAGATGAATCCACTTTATTTCTTTATCTAGGAATTTCACTTTATCCACTAAGATTCTTATTTAATTCTACTGGGAGCTGATTCCAAATTGGGATAAAAACATTTTAGCAATCCTATATATTCGTTAGCATTTTTTAAATAAAGCTGAAGGGGCTCAGATATGACCAAACTCTGATCTGAGAATGAAAATGTAGGCTTCTGGATCTTTTTAAAAGTAGGAATTCAGTTTAATGTTCCATAGGAGGAGTAAAACTGGACATGTCCCACTGTAACATAAAATACTGTGTATTTTTATTGTCCCAATGCATTGTTTGCAGGCGTGTGGTGAGATTAAAGTGATATGTTTGAATATCGTCATGTGTGCGAGAGAATATTCCATCCAAACCTTTTGGAGCTTTGATCTTTGTTGGTGCTGTCAGTGTTGAGGCCTTTCCAGATATTTCCAAAAGATGACTTTGTCATCTCATCTGAAATGTTGACTGTGGATGGATCGTCCCTTGATAAACGCAAACACATTTTTATGCATTTTTAACCTCAGACTATTGCTGTTATATCATCTATTTTGAAAGAAATTGTCCTTCAAGAAGAGAGGAGGCCATCTAAACATTTTTACAGAAATTAAAGACTGCAAGCTGTACAGCTCTATATGAAATATGTGAAATGAAATTACATTATATTACTATTACATTAAAAATGTTTCATAAAAAATAAATACACTACTGTTTGAAAGTTTGGGTAAGTATGAAAAAAATATTACAAAACAGTAATGTTGTGAAAAAAAATGACAATTTAAATTAAAGTTTTTTTATTGTAATGTATTTTAAAATTATTTATTCCTGTCATGGCAAAGCTGAATTTTCTGAATTTTTCTCCAGTGTCACATGATCCTTGAGTAATCATTCAAATATGCTGATTTGCTGCATATTGATGTCCAGTTGTGATACTTAGTATCTGTCATGGTTGCTACTGTGAGGAACAAAGGAGCGTGGAGACGACGGAGAGTATCAAGGGGAACAATCTTTATTTAACCAAATAAAGACTCACAGGAAGGAACACACACGTAGCACGGGGATTGACGTTAGACACCGGACAAAGGAACCAAGGAACATAACACTCTTTAAATTCATGACTAGAAGAGGGACTCAACGAGGAACACCTGAAATCAATAAACACAATCAACATGGGAGAAACTGGGTCATGGGGAGCACATGGGGAGCAAAACACAAGACACGGAACACAGGGGCAGTCCAAGGGCATGACATTACCTCCCCCTCCCGGAAGGCGCGTCCACGCACCTCATAAATTCCAAAGGGGAGGGGGGGTGGGCGCTCCGGAGGCCTCTAGGGACAGGCCTACACGGGACGGACGGCCTCCAGGGCGGTTCCCGTTCCGGGACCCATGGTGGATCAGGCAGTTCAGTGAGCCTTGGCAGAGCGGGCAGACTAGGGAGCCATGGCGGAGCAGGGAACTCCGGGGGCCATGGCGGAGCAGGCAGTCCAGGAGGCCATGGCGGAGCAGACAATTGAAGGGGGGCATGGCGGAGCAGACAGTACAGGAGGGCCATGGCGGAGCAGACAGTTCAGGAGGCCATGGCGGAGCGGCCTCCGTGGCCTTGGCCTGGCCTCTACGGCCCTCTCTGGGCTGGACTTGGGAACAGAGCCTCTTTCTGGCCTGGACGTGGGAACCACAGCCCTCTCTGGGCTTAACTTGGGAATAGGAGCCCTCTCTGGGCTGGACGTGGGAACAGAAGACCTCTCTGGGCTTAACTTGGGAACAGGAGCCCTCTCTGGACTTAACTTGGGAACAGGAGCCCTCTCTGGGCTGGACGTGGGAACAGGAGCCCTCTCTGGGCTGGACTGGGGAATAGTGGCTGCAGCCGACACT